TTGCTTAATTTGCCCTTACGGCAGGGACGGCTACGGCATGAGTTCAGGTACGATATACCTGATCTCTTGTAATAATTGCGGAGATGAATAAATTGGCGAAACGGGCAGACCTTTGCATATCCGTATAAAAGAACATCTAGATGGCAAACGAAAACTAAGACGAAGCACCCCACTAGGCACGCATCGGATACAAAAGCATAACGGAGACGATTTTGAAGTAAAAGTCAATATCCTTGCACAGGAGTCCAAAACACCAGCGCGAAAACTCCTAGAGGTAGCATAGCGGAGACGATTTTGAAGTATCAGTATCCTTGCACAGGAGTCCAAAACACCAGCGCGAAAACTCCTAGAGGCTTCTTGGATCAATGCCAAAGAAACCCTACAATGAATAGCAGGGACGAATGCCCGGAGGTCATACGCGACCTGATCCCGTACGTTCGCATCGATTTTTGATGTGCGATGGTGCAGTCGTCAACCACATGTGTTCTAAACTTCCTCATTGGAAGTCACGAAAAAGCGGTGGGTTTTTTCGAGAAGTTGTTGATCATGTAATTACCAAAGAGCCTTTCGTCTTTGTGTAAGTGTTATTGAAGCGTTTGGTCTAGTAGATTGTATATCAGCATACCCTTCCAGGCTCTGAAGAAGGCGATACTGCCGAAACGTCAGCTAGCGTTGTATTGAATTGTGTTTTTAGGGAAGTAAATTTATGCTGTTTAAAAACCTCGCGCTTGCTGAACAAGAAAACGACACATTCATATTCCAATGCTGAGATTAAGTGAAAGTCGATCCTGGGAACTATTACAAAAAATATAGAAATCCGTATGAAAAGTACGACGCTCTACGCTGATTGAAAAAGGAGTGCGGAGACTCAACAACAGAAATGTATTCCGTAGTAATAGCTTTGTGTAGAAATTAATGCATAATTTGCAGTTTTACTTTTCTTTCATAAATTTTAACTAGTTTTTTTTTCAAGTGATGTACCACTATATTTCGACGAAAGCCTATTCGTCCATTCGCTTTGCATGAATGAATTATAGCACAAATAATATTTTCGACAAAATCGCTTTTATGGATTTAAACGTGCTCACTGTGCAGCGCAAGCGGTTCAAAACATTAATGACGTATGGAGCCAAGGAAATGTTAACGATTGTGCAGTGAAACTTTGGTTTTAAAAAATCCTTTCGTAAGGAATTCGACTTCGAAGAAGAGGAACGTTGCAGACGTTCTTCTGTCTTTGACGACGATGAACTGAACGATTCGGTGGAAAGCAAAAATATGCAGAACTGTTCTAGAACTTGCAAAAGTTTTGATGTAAGCATCTCAACTGTTCCTGTTCGGAGCATCTAAAGAAAAATGGAAATTCGAAGAAGCTCGATAAATGGATGTCGAACAAGTTCAATGGCTTTCATTTACGATTACATGCGCCTACATGTTGCATTACCGACGCTGAAAAGGTTGATCGAACAGTGCTACGGAATTCTACCTCATTTGCCATACTCTTCCGATTTCTCGCCAAGCGACAACCACTTTTTCAAGCATCTCGATAACTTCCTGACACTAGCAATGACTCAGAAACGAAGCCGAGGCCCGAAGGTTTCTTATGAGCTGAGGTATGCTAGTTCAAATGCATAGGACAAAATTCCTGCATGAATTCCCAAAAAAACCAATATTAAGCAGCACAACGTAGATATTAGCATAAGCAGTACGCCATGGGAAAAAAAGAAATAATTCAAAACAAAAAACCACTCTCAACCACTTTAGTACGAAAAGATACTTGACATACGACATCAGGTGCCAAACATACTTTGAATTTTGGAGCAGAAGCAAGAGAACTTGGAGGGTTGCCATATGACACCGACCTCTGAGAAAAACTCTCAAGGCTTTCCATATCAGCTGTACCTAAAACAGTCACTAAAACAGATGCTGAGAAATTTAAAAGAAACGACGTCCAGAATGGTTCACTAAAAACCAGAAACGAAAATATTTCGCTGTAACATGGTGTATAGGAATAATACTATATCATTAAAAGATACTTTTCAAACCGACCTCAACGAGAACTTACCATTGGACATGTTTGGAAATGCACCATCTCTAGAATCTGAAGGAGAACATCCTCCAAAAATGTCCTCTTCTTGAAAGGATGACGTTGATTCTACATCATCTAATGGCTCAAACTCCACATTACATTTGGCCAAATGTGATGAAGTGGGCCTTAGTCCTAACATGCGACAGAAGTCTGAATGAGAAAATCTTTTCACGTTTAGAATACAGCATTTCACTTACTAACAGAGAAACGTCTAGGGGTGCGTTTGGCCCAGTAGTCGGAGGCACGCTGTAGCACACACGTAGAATCGATCCCCGCTCCCATGGTTTACCAAGCTTTCCATCCCTCCGGGATCGGCAAATTGGTACCCCAGACTTGTCTGGGAGGATAGCACCACTGGATCGATACATCGATAGGCCACTGGCGAGTCATCGTAAAGGCCAGATATGCATACAATCCCCTCCAAACGATGCTTAATAAAGTAGAATGCATGGCGCATCTCTCAGGGATTGATCAACGCGGGGAGCTTCATCCTTTTTCTTAATAGACAGATTTTTAGTGCACAAGTCATAAAGAAAGATCAGAATGCCGATCACTTCGATTATAATTAACATAATAGTAAACAATAACTGATACCATAAACTTTTTAGGAGTAACAGTGGTACAGTACTTATAATCTAAACCTTAAGAAAGCAGAAGCAGAAAAAAAAGTGTGGTAGAAAAAGAAACTAACGAACTTCTTTCGATCGCATCAGTACAACCTGGATTATCAACCTCTAGTTCGATCTTGCACAGGTATGACGAATCGTTAACCTATAATAAATTAACTAGCCATAAAGAAACGGAACGGAGACGACAAGTCATAATTTTAGTTCCCTTGTCAAGTACAGCAGACATCAGACGTTCACTCCTAACAGCAAGCTCGAGCTTTCTTTCACTTAATCGATGAATTAGACGATATTTCTGCAAGAAAAATAAAACTATAACGATATTGAGATATTTGCAAAACTACGGACGCGAAGTGTCTGCGATGGGGAACGAACATGTTATTACTCTTTACGGGAGCAAGCGCGTTCACCACCGCACAATACGGGTCATTCGTTTCGTTCTTGTCTCAACTAGTTTTCTACCTACCAGTGCTATTAGGAATCACCCATAAACGGGGTTGAACTGGGGAGCACAAATCGGCATTGAATTCAGTTAAGCTGAGATTGCAGTCGAAATCACAATGTTAACTTTTTCATTTACTGCCTACTACAATTTCCATGGCACAATATTAGGGATTTTACTGGATACTTGATACTTGAACAACCCTTCCTCACTAGTTGTGCGAGCCCCAGCATAATCACCATTTTTCGGAGATTTGCTGGTTAAGCCATTGTAGTTCCCTGGAACCCTGAGGACAGCCTGGCCAAAGTCTGCCTCAGGTCGTCACCACTACAGGCACTCGCGGCCCTAGTGGATCAGAGCGAGATTTGCCACAATGCCACTTTAATAGTACTAGGAATCACGGATTAAAAATAAACATTTTGGATGCAATATGGCCATAAGTATTAAGCAGTTTAATACAGAAGCTAGAAAATAACGAACTTCTGCTTAGATGCATTATATATCTACTTCCTACATACATCAACTTACATCTGCCAGTTCCATCAATATCTTTTCTCTCATGGTTTCAGAAGTTTCCGTAAGCTCCAATATTCGTTTCACTGCATATCTACACTCCAACTGAAGCCCTAAAAGTACCAAAGAATAGATTTTGCGATAGTTTAGTGTTCATCACATAGGTCGCAATAGTCCCCAAAAATGAAAATTTAGGAGGCAGAAAAAAAACTCTGTGAAAGAAAACAAGAATGCCTCCGTCCACTCGGACAGCACTGTCGTTGTAAGTTTATGCAATAACAAATAGTAGTGAACTAAAAGACCACTTTCCTCCCAACGGTTTAACACCTTATCATGGCTGGAAGGTGTTCCTGGATGACGGGCTGCGACGCAGAGATGGTGGATTCAACCCCACGGCAAGGCATCCCAAACTGAGGAGTCCCGGGCTTCTATCAGGAAGCTCAGCTAAGAGTAAGTCAACACCAGGATCCACCAGCACCTGGTATCAAACCAGCCGTATGGTGGCAAACCTCTATCTGATCGATAAGGGTGGAGAAATGGTAGTGACGGGCTGAGGAACACTTTGGCTAGGTCACATCGAGACTCCAGGGAATCACAATGGCTAAACGAGCAAAACTCCAAAGAAATGAAAATTATGCTGGGCTCCGCACAACCAGCGAAGATGAACCATCCAAGTAGGTAAGTATACCACTTTCGTTGTGGTTGGTTTTCAACGAGACCACAACAAACAAAGGGTGGGCATCACAATTACTGATTCCTGACAAGGCTCCGAACTTATAAACAGTCCTTTTAATGAGGAATGAGTACGCGTTTTGTAATAAACTTACTCTCCACATCGCTATCCCACTTTCGCATGAGCTCAAATCTCTTGCAAATCTCCTCAGGTATGTCTTCAATCACTAAAACACTCTTCGATTTTTGCAATGAAAGAGAAAAATCAGAAAAATACTCCACTGACACTCCATAATATCCTCGAAATACTGCATCGTGAAAGTCTCCAAATGTTACAACCCAATCTCCCTGAAAACGGTCCAGTAATAGCGAAATTAAAACAAGCAACGCTACTCAAATCCAGAATAACTACTTACCCGTCAAAATTTGTTTATCCCAAAAAACAACCAGTCAGCCTAGAAATGGCCTCACATAATCTAGAAATACACAGGTTTCGGCTCCAATTTGGTATTAGATAGTTGTCGATAACAAGCAAATACACATTATGAGTTTATGTCACAAATGAACGGAACATAACTATTGCCACGATTAATTCGACATCTTGTGCTGGAGAGTCGAATCGATATCATTCACGACCACCAGAAAAAAACGTAACGGAAAAATCGGGTAAATAAAGACATCAACTATAAAAAGGAGGAATCCACGAGCAAAGATCAGTAGAACAGACGAACATAGTGACATGAGAGCATTAGCCGTCATTTTCAGTGCACGTGCCGTAATCTACGGAACACAGAAACCGACTTCGATTGAACCTCTGCATGAGTGGTCAATGCGTGCTTTCCGATTGATAAGCTAACACAAGGCTGATGAAAAATTAGCTGAGAGACAGCCGGAACGAAGAACCCGCATGGGTTGGTGGTGAACGCGTTACTCCCCGAAAAGGACAATAGCACGTTGGTTTCCCACCGCAGACACCTGCGGTCCGGAGTTTTGCAATTATCTCAGCATCATTGAAGTTATACTTCTCAATATAGCCTGCCATTAAAAAGAGTACGCAGTAAATAATAAGTTAAAAATGCTGATGAAACCTTTCACCTTCCCAGTTCTGAAATATCGTTGCGCTCAATGCTGGCTGCTAGTGGTACCGACCGCTGTAGAATGGATTGCCCGGAAAAGAGTAAACGATTCCCAACAGACAGTCACCATCTCAACAGCAATCCTGTAGAAAAGAGCAGCGCCGAGTGTGGTTCATTGTTCGAGTGGTGCTCGAGCTTGATGGACCCAGACTGATGCACCGGCGACGGTCCATGCCGCGACAATGGCCGCCTGCGGAGAAGTCTTTCGTCGACCTCATGCTTGCTCGTCAACGAACAACACATATACATTTCTGTGGATTGTTCAGCCTACACGAGGTTGCTGCACAGCTTTTATTGCGCCGCTGACATCTCGACGTCTTCTTGCTCCTCAGATTCGATGATCCGACTCGGTGGCTCGTCGGTCGTTCGTCTTCTCGACGTGGTGTCCTCGTCGTCGTACTAAGTTGATGTAGTAACAGTACATATATGTATTATTAGGCGCTAATTTCTTAAGATTAGGAAGGATAAAGGATAAAGCTGTCGGCGTTGATCAATCCCTGAGAGATGCGCCATGTATTCGACTTCATTAAGCATCGTTAGAGATGATTGAATGAACATCTGGCCTTTACAATGACTCGTGTTGGCCTACCGATGTATCGAGCCAATGATGCTGTCCTCCTACACAAGTCTGGAACCAATTTACCGACTCCGAAGGGATGGAAGGGGATCGATCCCATGTGCATTGCTGGGCGCCTCCGACTACTGCGCTACGCGCGCCCTTAGGATTACTGATGATTCGCCATCCTCTCATATGGAATCCTTTCACGTTATGTATGAGTCAGAGGTTTCGTTTACCCCTGATAATCGTTTCACTGCATATCTGCACTCCTCTCGAAACCCTTGAATTATCAGAAAGATGTACTTCTTTAGATTGTTCAGCTCTGAGGAAGATGAAGACAGAACGTTTTGAAGTGCTGAAGTTTTGTAACAACCTCGTTGACGATATTTGGCGAAAGTCTGTTAAGGAAAGTATCAGAAAGCGGTTTTTGTATAAATATGGCATATACTGTGTAAGTCTTGCCACTCATCGAGTTTAGAGGACTGAGAGTTGAAAAATCCTAAGGAAGAACGTATGGCAGTATCCAGCTTCTAACGGAGTACTGTATTGTGTTAGGATCTATTTAAGCAGCTGAGCGATCTCTTGATCATTCCTGTTTTATTTTATATGATCGCTCACTCTATATCTCGTTATAATGTATAATTAGTGCTTGGATTCTTGGAAGGTCGGTCTTCACTGGTTATGCGTACCCCAGCATAACTTCCACTTTTTCGGAGTTTTGCTGGTTTAGCCATTGTGGTTCCCTGGAGTCCCGAGGTCAGCCTGGCCAAAGTCTGCCCCAGCTCGTCACCACTACAGGCAGTCGCTCCCTTTATAGTTCACAGGGGGATTTTCTAGCATGCGACTAGTTTGTTTGATACCAGGACAGGGGCAGATCCTGGTATTGGTCCTGGACTAACTAAGCCGTCATCAGCCGAAAGCTCCTGGGCGGTTTAGTCGTCTGAAAATGCTATGAATAGGTAGGCATGGCTGGTTAGTCCAGTGTAGTTACGCACCCATGTGTCTTCTCACCAAAGAAATACACTACAGGTTCAGAACAACTGCGTAACACCAAGGCTTGACCGAGTTTCAAACAATAGAACTTAAAGTCACGAGGTTTGCATAATATCATCAGAATAAACTTGCATATTTTTCAGGATATCGTATTTAAGTGAAAACAGATTAAGGCATTCGTGACAGTACATATCTACATTGAGGCATATGTAGAGACATACAAGGCAGCATGAATTCAATCCAATTCGTTTTTAGCCTGGTTGTTTTTTTTTACCACACGGAGTCTTCTTGCCATACTTTTACATTCGCTTGGTAGCTTATTGAGCACAGATCAAGAAGTAGTCGTTAACAAGCTATTCTCTTTACGCAAGAGTTTATGAAAAGACTTTTCGCTTAAGTCTATTTGTCGCCTCTCAACGGTTTACCGCCTCACCGCAGCGGGGAGAGGTTCCTGGGTTTCGGGCTGAGATGTACAGTGGTGGTGAGATTCATCTCCCTGGCTGTGTATCCCAAGCTGAGAAGGAGTCCGGCATTTCCGTCAGGAAGCCTAGCTAAGAGTAAACCAATACCAAGATCCACCACCTTTCTGGTATCAAATTAGTTGCATGGTGGCAAATCTTCCTCTGATCCACAAGGGCTGCGACTGCCTGTGGTGGTGAAAACCTGGGGCAGACTTTGGCCAGGTTTACCTCGGGATTCCAGGGAATCACAGTGGCCTAACCAGCAAATCTCCGAAAAAATGGAGATTATGCTGCGGCAAGCACAACTAATGAGGAAGGATCGTTCAAGTATCAAGTATCAAGTAAAAACCCTAATATCGTGCCGTGAAAATTGTAGTAGGCAGTAAATGAAAAAGTTAACATTGTGATTTCGACTGCAATCTCAGCTTAACTGAATTCAATGCCGATTTGTGCTCCCCAGATCAACCCCGTTTATGGGTGATTCCTAATAGCACTGGTAGGTAGAAAACCAGTTGAGACAGGAACGAAACGAATGACCCGTATTGTGCGGTCGTGAACGCGCTTGCTCCCGTAAAGAGTAATAACATGTTCGATCCCCATCGCAGACACCTCGCGTCCGTAGTTTTGCAAATATCTCAGTATCGTTATAGTTTTATTTTTCTTGCAGAAATATCGTAGAGATTGTTGCTGCCAAGAACGATGCCAAGACATTACCTGCCATGGATAGTGTTGCTGTTTAGAACCGTACTAAGACATGACCGCAGAATGCACCACTCTCATCAGTGTGCATTCACACAGTGTGCTTTTGGTAAACCGTCACACTTGGTCTCTTTTTACACGTTGTGAAGGTCTTAGTACATCTTCCATCAGTTTCGTTTTGTATTAGTAATCTAAAGTCGTAAGTGCGTCACCGTCCTTTTCAGGGGAATAGTGCTGTGGTTAGCGATACTGTTGAGCAGGAAGTATGGGCGCTATTTCAACCCCCACTCCAACGATACTCCCCAGTCCACGTGGAAATGCCCTAGCCTGGCCATCTCCAAGCCTGCAACGAGAATAGACTCGACCAGTAGACGTGAAGGCAGGTCAAATAAAATAAAGAAAATATCTGTGGTAAAGAAATTGTCAAAGTTTGACTAAACCAAAATTTTGTAGGCCCGAAAAATGTAATTAGTATTCGGCTTCTGATATCATCGTGAGATGACGTCAACAGTATTAGTTTCAGTATCGATACATCATAAAATAACATAATTGGCTACAAAAATATCTGCGTTTAAGTTTTTCCTGCTCATCAGCTCCATCATTTTTACTTAGAACTAGGAATACTCGGAGTATTTCCAAAAAATGCTTTTTGGTTATACGTGTTAGAGACGGTACATTCAGTAACACTATTGTCCATTGTCTTAAAGTTCGAAATATTTATGTTTATTTATTTATATAGTCTTATAAGCTGCACCTGTTGAGCTGATGCGAGGTTGGTATACCTAGCACCAGCTCTATGAAGGCAGTTCTTAGGAACGTATAAATGTGTCGTTCGTAAAACCACAGTGATGCCGAGGTATTCACAAAACTTGGACCCCTGACCAGATCGAAGCATGATTTCCCACCCCGAGGCTCGCGCACTACACACTGCGCTGCTGAGGTTCTCGCTCTGCGTTTCTCTCAGACATTGTAATTTCGACTACAGCTACAGCTTAACTTGGTTCATTGTCGATTGGGCGCCCCAGATCAATCCCTTTCATGGGTGATTGCTAATAGCACTAATCGATGGAACTATCTGGGACACAAGCAAGACGAAGAAACTGCATGCTGCGGTGGTGAACGCGTTAGCCCTCGGAAAGGGTAATAGCGCGTTCGTTCTCCACCGCAGACACCTTCGGTCCGGAGTTTTGCAAATATTTCAGCACCACTTTGGCTGTATCACACATAATATCCTGTCGTAAAAATTTGTAATAGGCAATAAATGAAAACTTAACGCTATATCGTTTATGTTGACCTTTTATTTTCTGCTTGCTGTAATTTCTCACGGCAGGGTATGATGTGAACTATAATCACAATGATGCTGAGATATTCCCAAAACATGGACCCCAGGCCAGATCAAAGCACGATTTCCCCTCACGGGAGCTCGGTATTATACACTGCGACACGGGGGACCTTGCTTTGCGTTT